TCCTCGGAGGAGCCATGGCCTATCAAAGAGCTCATTGAGAGATTCATGCCCGAATAGTGATTGAGAGCCAGAGGCGTTAGCTTAGGCATTGTGTTTATCAGGGCTAGGAAGTATTTATCCTGCTCGGGGTAATGCGTGACATCGTGATGGGCGTTTGTAGTGCTCCCCGTGGTGTTTTTTAGCATTCCAATTACCGATTTGCTGTTGGGTTGACCACCTCGAATGAGCAGCGCTCCGTTCGCATGCCGCCATGTGGGCAGTGGAATGCGTTGGCCCTTGAAGCACCGACCCAAATGCATTATTGCCGCGTCACTGCACTGCACAGGGGTCACAATTATCGCCGGATAGGAGCGGCAGGTGGCATAACTGGTATTAACATTGCTTATACGGAAACCACGCTGTGATTCCGCATCGAAGCCTAGTCGCTTCCAGTCCTGCACATAGCTTCTCTCCCGCATCCGTTCGACATCTTTTGTTGTTAGCAATCTGGGCATGGCATTGTTTTGAGTTTCGAACTCATCTCCATCCTCCAGCTCATCGTCGATGGACTGCGTTTCCTGCGCATCTGCACTTCCATAATCATAATCAGAAACCAATTTGCGCTTGGTCTGCTGCTTCTGCTTAAATCCAGCCTTTTTGGCCCCACGGAGCAGCGTTTTTTTGGCAAATCCCTTTAAGGTGGAATATTTCTCCTTTGTTTTCAACGGAGCCACTCCCTGGAGCATGGTGCCGTATGATTGAAACGCAAAGTACTCAAACTCATCAAACGGATGCCGCGCTTTGCTCAATATCTTCCTAAAGCTCTCAATCTGCTCGGGAGTTACTTCCGGGTCGAAAGCGACCTTGATCAGTTGAAAGCTGCTGGAACGCAGCTGCAGTCCTTCTGTCAGCGTTTGATCTAGATGAGCTAGGTACAGCACCGATATCTTTTTCTCTTTTAGCAGGGAGGCAATCGGAAAAGTGCGCACAATCACCTGCTCACAGAAGAGGGGATCGCAAGGGGAGCCCTTGAAGATCACACGGTAGTTGGTGAGGAAAAGAGCTCCCTCGGCGGGTATCAGGCACTGGGTTTCATCTTCGCGTCCATCCGGCATAAGGAAGCAACGCAGGTGGTCGGTCACCAGGTCCTCTCCCGGCAGCAGGCATGGCGTTTGAATCTTGGGCTTCTGCACGTGCGGATGACGCTTGGCCTCGAGATAAACCGGTTCCAGGGACTCGATGTGCATATGCACAACACCTGGCACCATATCATGCAGATTGCGTATATGCTCGGAGGTCACTCCACCTTCGGTACAAACGCAGTCAATGAAGCGTGAAATGGTTTTCCCAACCGTGACACCTATTTCCAAAGCATTGTTCTCCTCGAATCCTTCGTCGGAATGTTCGCTCAGGCTGTGTGAGCCCATAATACTGTAATTTAAAATTAGAAATTCATATGTAAATATAAAATCGAAGCTAGAAACTCATCTAGTATTACCTATTGGAAACACTCTGATTTTCCTCTAGACGAAACGCCGGTTTTGGCTTACTGGCCGCATCTACATTGACATCCAGTGGAATCAGCAGGGAAACCATACGGTTGGCAAAGTGAATCGCCTGGCTGTACAATGTAGACTCCTCTGACTTGGCCAGCTCGGCTTTTTTCTCTTCCTCAATGTTGGGACTTTTGCGCAGCTGCTCGGCTGTAATTTCAAGCGCCGTGGGCTCCTCTAGAGGTACTTCGTCCAGCACACAGTTTGCCTCCTTTTGATGCTCGTTCTGACGTCGGTGAAGCAGATACAATGCCTTTATCTGACCTTGGACATCCTGAAAGAACGTAGACTCCCAAAACTGCAGATTTTTCCAGATGGCATGATCCTGTATCTCTGTGTAAGCGAATTGCACCACTCCAGTAGAGAGCTTGCGGCAGAAAATTGTGGACATGGGCAGCAGAGCCGCAGCCACAGTGTACTCATCAATCCCCGATGATTTTTGCAGTGCCTTGTTCATGAATCGCACAACTAACTCAAACTGTTGATGGTCCAGCACTGCCTTATTGCCGTGCACATATCCAAAGAACTCGCGGCATAAGATCAAGCGCGCATCCCGATGCATCAGGGTGCGCATCACAGCCGGCAGCAGTTTTCTGGCGTCTGTTATCCGATTCTCAAAGATGTATGACACACAGATCCGCAGCACCTCCAGTCGCCGAGCGGAGTTTTGGACATTGGGACGCACATCTAAAGCTTCGGGTAACCTGGGTCCCATCGGAATGATCCGGTGCTGATTACGAGTTACATGAAAGCGTTGTGGTACTCCGTTCTTGCGTATTCCTTCCTGTATGATAAGCTCGACCTTTTCCGAGTTAATGCGCGGAAAGGCGGGTTGATGGATGCGCTGGAATGCACCGTCCGGCGGACGCAGTACCTTTTGGGCATAGTTGATTTGAGCCAGAGTCCCCTCATTTTCATATAGTACTCGTCCCAATTCCTGGATATGTGTGAGTATCTGAAAGGCAGATGAAAGATAATACTACACTATCCCTTAAATCTCTGCAATCTACTTACGAGATTCCGATTCTGCGACTCCGATTTAAGCAGTTCATTCATTGAACTGTAGAGCTCATCCCAGGCATCGGAGGAGCGCCAGGGAGGTCCCCGTTCGTTGACGAACGTCGTGAAAAACATGCTATCCAGTACCCTAAACAGGAATTCGCTCTCAATCAGATCGCGGGCGCCGAGAAATCCTGCCTTGTGAAAGGTGATTACCGGCTTTGGGTGGATCCGAATTATTGTCAGGCAGGAGCGATATCCCTGCAGCAACTGGGCGAAAAGTCGCATGAATATGGCGCGAAGTTCCTTATCAATCTGGGCGTCAGTCTTGGCCATAGCAGAAGGTCGCTCTAATGTGGGAAACGCCAGATCAGCCTGCGCCAGGTTTGGAAACAGGATCATGCTTAGCATGTCCTGGGTCTGTTCCCACAGAGGTGAGGGAAGAATAGGAACGGGCGGAGTAAGTGACTCGGGAATGGTAACGAGACCTCCATCCAAATCCACCACAATAACATCCAGTAGATCCGTAATCTCAGTTTGTAGTGAGCTATGTATGCCCATAATGAATGGTGTGGGTGTGGACAACACTTCCGTGAGTGGCGCCGGCAGAATTGGTATATAAACATGAGTATACCGAAATGGATACATCAATGCCACCAAAGCTCTGCAGCTGTCCGTCAGGTGCCAATAGCACTTGGAAAGAAACAGTATCTTGTTCTCTGTCATCACGGCGCAAAGTAGGATCAGTACATTCTTGATGCCCAGCTGCTTGAAGAGGAAGTGTACTCCACTTCCGGTAGTGGGGAGGGATGAGCTCTGTGGCGGCTGGAGCGACTGCTTGTCGCCTGCTCCTATGGAGAAGCGCACCTGCGGTCCGCCCGCTGGCGGAACTTGGATGCAGCCCAGAATGTTTCCTATGAGTGTCTCCAATCCATACGCCAGATTCTCAATGTACACCGTGTATATGGTGCCGAGACAATTCTGCAAATCAAAATAATGGGTTAGTGTAGTTTTTTAGCACAGAGTTTTAAACTCACTTTAAAGGTCTCAGCACAGTCCAAACGCGATATGAGCACCAGACACTTTGGTGCATACATGACGCTGTGGTGCATAATGGGAGCCGGCGTGGATGTCGCCGTGATGCCATCCGTCGAGGAGGGTGTAGCTCCCAGCAGCCTGCTGCTTCCGATGGTCTCATCCTCGTCGTCGACGCTGCGCGTCTGCGTAATGGCCACCGTCTCATGGAAGCTGAGGCAGGCGCAGTAGTGCTTATTGGCATCGATGTCCGTCAGCACAGAGACGAAGAACTTGGGCTCCTGCTTCTCGTACGATAAACTCCAGCCGAGCGGCTGGCAGAACTGTCGGAATGATAAGGTACAAGTCGGATAAGTCGTATAAAGTGTGTGATGTAGGAAGCGTACCCATTCAATGCCATCGATGAACGGAGTGTCCGACCAATCTTTCTCGGGAAAGCGCTGAACGATCTTGCCGCATGTCGGCTGGCCGCCCACATTGCTAGCAGTTTCTGGGGAAAGGGAAAATTGTTGAAAGTCCGGGAATTGCTAATTATGGATGCTGGGTATATGGTTGTACTCACTCTCCTTATCGCTGTCGTAGCCGACTATAACGAAGTAATCAGCAAGCCGGGACATTTTTCCCACCACATTGCCGGCCAGTCGTCTAGGATCCTACGGCTCTTTACTAGCCAAATCTGGGGAACAAAGAGTTGAAGATGTTTTATTTTGAATTTTGAATTTTTTTTTTTTTATTTTGTTCTTATAGCTAGGGCATCGGCAGATGGCTACTATTCGCCAGTGCCGTCATCCAATTTGATATGCTAATTAGGCTCCGTCTCTGCGCTCGGCATAAATGATTAGCTCCATGGCGATCGAGGGGCCGAATTGTTATTGTATTGTCTATGGCGCCCGGAGGCGTTTTTCAGGCTTTACGAGTCTTGGTCTTCACTCTTTTTTTTCTTTAACCACACCCCGCCACGCAAAGTGGAATAGTGCGCCGGGAATCGGAATGGCCAGTCTATATATATATATCTGTGCACACACCTCGCAGCCGGCTGCAGCCGAAATGCCCGCTAACTGCCAGCAAATCTCAAGGAATTCGGAGCTATAATTATTATTTTTAAGTTCGCATAGAAAAAGATAGATGCAATACACAATAATTTTCACGAGTTGTCCAACACTTTATGCATCAGCTGGTGGATTGTCTCGATATTTTATGGGCGCATTCAATGTATCGATAGTTTTTGACTATGCTACAAATTAATCGGCGCGCGCCTTAAAGATCCATTGAAAAATGGTCAAGGGAATACCAACTTAGCTTTACATATTCACCAAAGAGTTGAGGGGCAATCAGCAGAGAATTAATCAGTGGAAAAAATAAAGCATTTTCATACTCATTAATGACCTCATTAATGAAAAAGGATATAAATACAAATAAAACGTAGCCTTCGTTGGTGACTTGATTTTCTTTTCAACTTAAATATAAATCACGATATCTTTGACATTATGAACTAACGAGATATAAATACATAATAACATTGATGACTAACTCGTGTAAGACGTAACTATGATAGGTGTGTTGTTTAGCTGATCTTTACAAACATATTACGTATACGTATCATAGTAACTATTATGAATGCCGATCGTCTTGTTTCAAGCATGTTTGCCGTTTTCTGTGTTATTTGAGTCCGCCGGTGGACATTGCTTAGATTCCTGTGGCGGCATGGTGAGCGATACTGTGCCCTTATCCGTGTGCTTTATGTGCTCCATTTCAATGTCCGAACAGTTCTCGGAATTGGATAGCGCCGAGTCCATTGAGGTGACGGTCATGTCCACGGCCTTGTCACTAGAGTTCGTCGACAGCAGGGGTTTCTCCACCGCCGGCTTCTCATCCGCATCCTCATCTCGCGTGGGTGGCACGAAACTATTGCTATTAATGTCCTCTATGGCTTTTCGCAACTGTTGAATATCATGTGTTATAGGTGTAATCATCAAAAATGTCATTCAAGTCTTACTTCTTTGAGTCCCACAACGCCCACAAGTCTTCCGATTTTGGTGACGTAGGCGTGGTTAATGCCCACCATGGAAAACAGCGAGTGGACCTTGAGTATGGAGGTGCGTTCCACCAGTTGAAATGGCGAGGGATCTATGTGCACATTGGCCTTTTGCAGATCGATGGGCTTCAACATTTCCTCGAGCTCCCATTGCTTCTGATCTTCCGGTGACATGTCGATAACACGTTCCCTGGGCTGGAAATCAATCAAAACGATATAATATGAGTTGAAAGAAAGGGTAGTATATTGTGAAAAATATTCTAAACGTACCAATCGCACTGACTTCGTCTTTTGAATGCTCTTATTTGGGATTTACAAGATAGGAGAGAAATGGGTATGTTAACTTTTGAGAGTTAATAATGCACTATGCACAATAATCAAGAATTTCCTTCGGTTTTACCTACCTCAGCAATCGATTCTGGATTTGTTGTTTCATTCACATCTTCTATAGAGTAACCCATTTCACTTTCCGGTTTTATTTTACATTTCGTTCGAGTTGGCGAACCATTTACCCCAACTTCATTGGCAAACCGTATTTTCGTGCACCTTTTTGCCGCCTGAGGAGATCTATTTACATCTGCAACTTTATTTGCTTTGAATTTAATGCTCGGTGATTGCGTTGAACTATCTCCACTATTTGATAATGCTATATCCGTGCTTTCCTTCTCGGCAGGCTTTTCAAACATTAATCTTCAGATTACAATATGTATAAACAGGTATCTTAAACTGGCAATACTCTAGTCCATCTTCTACTGAAATTATCAAGTATTTGATCTATTTTCATAGCGGTATGAAAGTATTACTTTTGCTTGGATACTACTTCTGTATTACAGTTTACTCTTTTACTTGGTTTTAGGGCTTACCATTTTTGTTAATTCCGTTGAAATAGGGTTTACTTGCTTGCAGATATTAGAGTAAGTTAAACACACATTTCCCAAGAGAACGAATGAAGTCATATGATATGAATGTTGTTAGTGAGTAACTTACCAGCATAATTTGATCGGTTACAAAATCCCAATTACTTTGTGCAGGCTTGAAAAGAGAGATTCCATCTCCCGGTTTACTTAATAACTTAAACACTAACTTAGACAATAACTTAATAACACCGTCTTAATGTTGCAAATAGGAAATGTGCACCTACCAGCTGAACCTTTTTGGAAACACCGGGAGTACTGGGAGTCCGGGGGACCTCCACCTCGTGGTGACTTGCGGCCGGGGAGATAGAGCCCGTCTCCGGATCCGGCTGGACGTCCTGAAGCGTGGTGGACTTCTTGAAGATGGCCTCGAAGGCAGAACGAATGCGGAACTCGGAGTTACCGGTGATCGTGGTGTAGGGCGTGATGCTGGGACTGTGCCCCATGGGCTGCGCGTAGGTCTTCAGGTTGAAGGAGTTGGTCTTCTTTAGAATGGACTTCCTGGGCGCCAGCGAACCGTGCATTGTTTCCGCCCTTTTCTTGGGCGGCAGCATTTCGTCGTTGGCAATCTGCCGTAAACTGAGAATATCCGGAGCCGGAAGAACCTCGAATCGCGATGGACGCCGCATCTTTAGCTCCACCTCCTGTTTTTTCTTCTCCTCCTCGAGGGCTCGCTCCTGAGCCTCCTTTTGCCACTTCTGGGCCACCTCCATTCGCTTCTCGCGTCCGATGTGCTTCTCGATCATTTTGATCAGCTCGTACCGCTGCACGGATCCCAGCAGGATCATGTTATCCGGGCTGTCCACCAGTGGCAGGGATCTCAGCGTCTTGTTCAGCTTGAGGACTTCTTTGAGCTTCTGATAGGAGATGCCGTGCCATATGTACTTCACATCCCTCACCATAAAGTCCTCCACGAATATGCTGTACATCCCAGAACTGGAGGGCAGCAGATCGGGCAGGTAGGGCAGCTTCTTAATCAATATAATACTGTCGTATATCGACGGTTGGAGCAGCGCCGCTACGGCATTGGCCACTAGCACGGCAATCATCACGGGCACCACGTGCGTAATCTGACCGGTCATCTCGAAAATGATTACGGCCACAGACACCGTGTGCGTCACGGATCCAGAGAAGGCGGCCGCTCCAACGACGGCATAGCCTCCGGGCATGATGGGCGACAGTCGACCGCCATACCGGACGCCGTGGGGAAATGTCACCGCCATGAACTCGCCCACTAGTCGACCAAAGCCAGCACCGATCTTGAAAACCGGAATGAACATGCCCGACGGAACTGGTATCGTGGAAGCGATAATCGAGACTACGAACTGCAAAAGGAAAGATCAGTATCTGCAAGGGATTCATCTCCAGTCTCCTACCGTAAAGAGGGTGTAGATGACAAGGTTGCCGAAGACGCTGGTGTAACTGGTCATCCAATGGGTCACTACAGCCGCCTGCTCCACAGTAAGGTCGTCTCGTGACCACGTGAAATTGCTGAACAGCTGTGTCACCTGCTCGTGGGTACTAAGTTCGCCGGCCAGGAACTGTCCAGTGCCCAGAGGAAACGAGATGCTGGACACCAGCAGAGCCAGGAATCCCGGATACAGAAAGCGACTAAAAGATGGAAACAATATTCGGACTCAAGATACATTTAAAGAGTTTTGGTTGATCTTACTTTTTCTGCAGGAACTTGTTCATCCGCTTGTTGGATCTCATAAAGAGGACATATCGCCGATGGACCCACACATATGAGGCGCCACCCAATCCGCATACGAGTCTGAAAAGGAAACATTAGATATAGCAACCATTGAACCGAACAGATCACCCACGTACCCAATCAGGGCGAAGACGAACAGCTCCTGAGGATCGAAGGGAAACTCGGTGGTGAAGTTCGTGAGGAACAGCGCTCGAACAGTGTCCGCGTTTTGGAACCAAACAGCCAGGAGCCGGAAGACAGTGGCGCCACACACAGCGGCGAAGAATCCGCGCCAGTAGTTGCGCACAGCGAAGTACGTGGTGGTGACCTCTATGCTGAAGAGCACACCTGCGGGAGGAGTGGGTTCAGAGGTACCCCATCAGAAGACACCCAAGAACGATGGCGTAGGTGTACTTACCACCGACTGGAGCGGCAAAACAGGCGCCCACACCGACGGCACAGGCTGCCGCCAACATTTCAGAGTTTCGGGACTCATTCTCATATATGCCTTGGAATGATGTGACAAGTTTACTTAATAATTGTGCTACAATACTTGCTATATGTACGAAAGGACCCTGGGGAAAGCACGCAGATACGGAAGCGGAAACGGAAACGGATACATATAGATTTTCCAAATTGCACTTGCTTCGCCGCAGCGCTGTGCTTGCAGTGTGAGATCAATTCTTATACTTACTTCCTTTCCTAATGGCATACCGCTGCCCAGAGTTGCCGTTAAACCAATTACCTTGGCCACTAGTGTCTTAAATGTGAGATACTCTTTCAATTGAACGCCGCGCAGTATGGTCTTCATTTCGGGTATACCAGAACCTAGACACAGTTTGGTTATGTAGATTTGCATTGATCATACTCGCAGTGGTTGTCGTTAGATTATACATAACAGTTACATCTATAGTTAGTGGTTAGTTTCTGAGGTCTGAGGTGTGCTGAAAGCAGAATTGCTGGGAGTGTTTGGTGGTTCGAGTATATAACAAGTAGACACAATGGGTTCTCAGATTGGAGGTGCCAAGAGTGCTTGGAGTGGGCAGCTGCCAGAGTGCAGTGGTACTATGAGTACTTATCGGTTCAATATATACAAAAAGGTAAGATCGAGAATGCCTAGGAGTTCTTTCAGAGATTCGTTGGGTAGAAGAGGGTGAGCTCATGTGTTATCCTGGTAGGAAGAATCAAGATTCCTATCGTTTCCTGGCCCTAATCATCAACCATAGAAGTAAAGTAAGTAAGCACAAAATTCATACAATTTCTACAATTTTGGAAAACCGACGGCAGCTTTAATGGAGAGTGCGACAATTCAGGGCCATTATTAAATGATTTACTCAAGCAGGCTACTTCTAAATCATACTCACTAAATACCCTGCTACATTAGTTAGACTAAGGAAGTGACTGTTATTATGAGAAATATGATGAGAAAATGTGATATGATGTGTGAGATGTGTGAAACTACGAACGCTTACCTATACTCTGCGGTGCGATGAGATGGACAAAGCCGGCCGAGAACAATATCAAACAGACCGGCAGTGAGACCCATGCGATGTACTGAACAAAAGGCTGTGACGTCAGATCGCGATACAGCCAAATTCGCGCTGGTGGAAAAATACATGGGAAAAAAACCATAGATACTAGAGACGAGCTGCAAATCGATTATCGAACAGCCGCCCTACCGTTTGTACATATGGATATGCCCTTGTCCATGATGAACGAGAGCATGGCCATAATGATGCCCAGCAGCGCCAGGAAGACCCAATCCTCGCCCAGCCGGGCCACCGTGTGCCTCCAAATCCATGATGACACCCGCTTCGCCCGGGTCGAGTGTTTGCCCAGCAGTTCCTGTAAATATTTCCCAGCACTGCTGCTTTATAAACTGATACGTTTTGGCGGATATCAACGGAAGATACGTTCTAGACTCTACAAACGAGTCTACATGCAAATCTACTTAGCCAAATGGCTGTGCATACCTTAGATATTTAGTTTTCTCGTTTAGTTGGCATATCAGTAAATCATAAGAGCATTTATAACATTGTATTCCACGGGATTAACTATAATTTACTATATTATTCTATATTGTTTTACCTTATTCCTTTGCTTATCTTCCTGCTTTCGTCGCTTTTCGAGTATTTTGAGCTTTCTGGCTTCATCCTTGGCAAATTCTCCTAGATCTTTGGTATAGCGACCATACATCTGCGAAGAGAAAGGCACATTATTCGGGTCCTGAGCTTTTATGAATATGGTAAAGGTCTAATGTATGTTCTTCTAATTATAACTACGTGTATGCACATTCTCAAAACCAAACAAATAAGCTTTCTGTGCTACCCCTGTGTTGAAAACAAACAATTTCATTCGCCTTGAGCGTTCTAGACAAATGGCTAGAGGAAAAGAACTGATGACAGAATAGGAAGTGCACAGACAATTGCACTTAGAAAAAATAAGGTAAGCATGAATGAATAACTATTTGTGTCCGTTTCTCACGCATAGTATTTTTAACAGTTGTGATAAATTCATAAAAGGCACAAAATAGATTAATATAAGTTTTTAAAACGAAGTTTTATTTTGAAGTAAATCGGTATTTACCGGTTTTAGACTAAGAAATTTGAAAAGTCTAGCAGCTGCAACATTTTGTCTAAGAAGTAATACATTACATGCGTCATTGTTTGGTTCAAGAAAACATTTGAGAAAGTGAAAATCAAGATTATTTTCGGCATAAGGGAAATGGTATGAATTCCGCTGTACGATTTGATTTATTTGCGAATTGAAGGGCAGAACTCAGGGTTATTTCTTTGGGTGTATGCTATGAGGGTCAATGCAAGAGGTTCGTCGCCGCAGACGTTGAAAACAAAATAAATAAATAAATACTGTGTAATAATGCCCCATCAAGATTCTCTTTTAGCACTTTTTGCAGACAACTAGGGCCTAATAAAATCTTAATTTATGTTAATTTCGATTTTATGGTTTTCCACTGCCAATCGAATTCACTTGGTTACTTTCGAATATTTTCCACTTCACTTTCGAAATGGGAACCGTGTCAGGAATTATTTTCGATATAAACGAACTACTTCAGGGTCATTTTTTCCAGTGCTTAAGAGGGTCTGTGGCTGCATCGATGATGGCCCTTGGTCTCGCGGATGAAATGGGCAGGTGGCTCGTGGGCCACTCACATAGTAGAACGCCTCGATCTCGATCTCGATCTGGTTCTTATCATCGCCGGGCGGATCGATCTCGATGCTCTGATTGCGTTGCTGCTCCTTCTGCTTGGCAATGACCTCATCCCAGCGCTGGCGGACAGGCGTGGAGGCGGAGGAGGCGGCTGTGGACTTTTGGGAGCGCTCCTCCTTGCGCTGGTAGTCCTCGCGATTGATCAGCAGCTCCGGCTCGAAGGCGTATTCGCGAATGTACTCATCCTGGTGCGAATGGCTGTTGTTAAACATGAAGCAAGCGATGCACACGAACGAGGTCTCGTACTCAAAATCACGATCAGAATCGCACTCGGAATCGTAATCGTAATCAAATTTCAATCAGAATTCATAGTCAGCACTGCAGTCGCACGGATCTGGGTGGCGGCCTTTGACATGCCCGCGGCTGTTGGCCAAATATTTGTGTCGCATCTTGTTCGGCAATTATTTTTAGGCTGTCGGTTATCTCGCGGATGCAGTGCAAGTTTTCGACTCGATTCAAATTGAATTGAGTCCCCACTGGCAGACGTACATAATTAGAGGAGGACGCCACTGCCCTTGAGTTCCCGTCTCGGAAACACGGCTATTCTAAAATGCATTGCCATTTATTTTTAACATTTTTACACTGGGTCGTGGTCGTGGTCGTGGTTTACGTCTTTGCCATTCACATAAATTTCATTTATCGCTGCGATCCACATGGGAAATGCAAACGCGAATCACCTCAGAATTTGGCCATAAATTTGGCAATTATTGGCACTTTTTAATGATTTCCATTATCTATTGATTTTCAATTTTTGATTTACCGACTGCCACCGAGCGTTCTTGTATTGGCCCAAACTTTTTTGAAACTAAACTGACTTGTCGAGCTTTCGGCGCTCTTTGTGTGGAAAATTATTGAAATTTCTTTTGGCTAGACGCTGCGCCAGGGTAGCACGCTGTGCCGATATTAAAAAATGGCCAGAAATAAAATGAGAAACTGGCCGAGCGGTGTGTAAACAAAATATGAATCTTAGGATTGTTTTCCAAATCCGCTCGTTCGGCAATCAAAGCGAAATTCTTTGGTATTTCGAAATGGTTCATAAATTTAATTGCACGATATGGGATTATCAATTTAAGATGTGCTCTTGAAATAACTGCACGTGTGTGATTTAAGTGCTCGAAAGTTTTCAATTTAGGTAATGAGTAATGAGTATATTCATATATTCATATCTCACCTACGAGTTCCCTATACGGTCACTCTTTTTCGTCACCCTACTACCTTTAGCAATGGAACATTGGTTGCCTCCTTTCAAATATAATAAACACTTTTCGTTATAATCGGATTAAAAATAGCTAATGTTTTTGCCTGTTTTGTCATTCGTACACTGTTTTTGCATTGCTTTTACAAAGGCCCAGATGCGAATAGAAGTGGGGAAAATCGCCCAGTGGCAACTGGCAGGAAAAGCGGCGAGCAAAAGCTTGGAAAACCATTCAGAAATCAAAAAAGTTTTTGTTTTGATCGATGGTTTCACGGCAGATGTACCAAACGGGCGTGACCGAAAATGCTTAAATAATGAAAGCAGACTTTTCAACATTGTTAAATTTGCAATAATAAACAATGAAACAATGCGAACGTATCAATGATTAATATCTTATATGGTGGCAGTGATTTTTCCCTTTTTAATCTAGTGAATGTTTTGCAATATCTAAAGAGCTTGTTTAATATCATAGATGTAATTCAAATATTTTACTACTGCCTCTACGTGAGCAGTGGAAAATTTGAACGCTCTTTGCGTCATCAGTCGGATAATCAGACAAATTGGCAGTATAATCACGACGGTTCGACATATGTGTACTCCTGTATGCATACACCTGCGACTAATAAATGCCACAAAAAATTATGATTTTTAAAGAGTTTTCTTTGTAAAAATCTTATTAAGACAAGGAATATAATATATATTCATAATTTGCACATTCGTACATAAAAAAGTTTTATAATAGGTGTGAAAAATTATTTGTTCTCATACGTGTGATACAGTTTGTTTTACCAAATTACTATTAGGTTGACCGTTTGTGTATGAACTTGGCTAACACAAAGCGAATGCAAGTGGGACAGATATACAGATAAGAACTTATTGCCGTGCGTTATCAAACACAAATAACTGGATTTCCCTAACAGTAGCTATTGTATTACAGATCGCCAGGTGTGCTTACAAGAGTATCGATGTATCCGATGGGATCATCCTCGTCCGAGGAGTCCGAGTCCCGGGCATTTTCGGCAGGCGGCGGGCACGGATAGAAGGCGTGCGACTTGATCTTCGGATGCCGCTGCACGTGACGCAGCTCCTCCTCCATGGACATGGCACTGTTCCGCCGCTTGCGCAACTGGCAAATGAACTTCTCGAAGTCCGCCCACTCGGAGTCCACCAGCTCGACGTTTTCCTCGCCAAACTCTTCATCGTGAATGATTCGCTCGACTTTCTGATTACTCCGATCGCGATTGCGATCGCGTTGCCGATCGCCGAAATAGACCATACTGCTCTTGTCAGTTCGAATGGGTTTTTAATGGGTTTATAGCAGTTCAACGCAATCGATGGCGCACTATCAAAGATGGGATCGATACGGTTTTGTCACATCCATGGCACAGATATCGCGAATCTGTCGAATTCGAATTCAATTCCCGGCTGCATGTGAGTCGAGCAGTGTCTTAAGTCCAACTGAATAGTGTCATGAAGATAGACCGCTCCGGTCCCGCTTAAATTCAAGATTCCATTAAATTTAGTACACAGACACCGACGCACTCGTCTGCTCTTTCAACAGTCTCAAGTTTGCGGATACTTGTACGTATAGTTCCCACATTTGTATGTAGTATAGCCAGTGACTCTCGAGCGGTCAAAGTTTGCGTGTAAACATCAATAGAATTTCATAAATTTAATAATCTGCGGTCTGGTCAACGGCAAAAAAGTGAAAATGCCAAGCGCTTGGATGACACGAAGTGCGGTGCACAGTGGGCATAGTCTTATATCCTAGGCCATTCCTAGGTTCCATTGATGAATCGCTCCGAAAATGTTTTATAAATATATCTTTTCGGGAAAATGTTGACTGTCACATTATGACTGATTTACGCACGTTAGTCACTTGCAAGCTTGTTTGCAAGACATTTCCATGGCTCGACCCACTGTGACGGATCACTTAAGCCGCATAAATTGCGATTACTTGCTTTAATAGTCTCAATGTGTAGACTAGGCATTGGGTCACATGTCTTCAAGAATCCGTTGGATTTATCACATTTAAGTATTAAAGTGTACCGGTTCTTCTGGCCCGTATTGTCTTAGTCAATCTTCAGCTTCTACCCCTAATTTGCGGTAATGATAATGGCAACCCTAAATAGGTATAGATTGTTGGTCTGGGCGTAAATCGAGTACTCAGCCCATAATCTTGAACTTAAATGGCGTTCAGGAAATTGATATAGGAATACATATTAAGAGAGGCCAATTAAAAAAGAGAAAGAAAGCTTATTTCTTGTCACTAGCTGTTAGATATCAGCGCACTGCTTGACCCATTAAGCAGTGTCTGTTAATTTGAAAATAGTTCACATGACTGAATCATGATTGTATCTCAATATCTTGAATCTTTATTGTGCCTATATTTACATAACTCATCTCATCATATCACTATAGAGATCACATGGAGCGATTTTAATTTCTTTTACTTGAACATTTTGAATGGAATTGACTTCCCAATGGGGGGAATCAAGAAAATCTATGTCACATTGAAAACATTAACTGTGGTATAACAAACAATTACAGCTATAGGTGTTTGGATGAAATGACACTTTACGTACTTTTTTGTGAAACGCCATTTTCGAACTCATATGAAAGAAATTAGCAGGCTTGCGATAAAACAAAGTGATCTTGGCTAAAACCGTCTGGCGACTGGATAGCCAGCATCTCAGATGGTGCTAGAAACACCTTTCGAGCCGCAAAATCCGCGATAAGGGTCCAAATAGCAACAACACCTGAATCGCGGCGAAAAATTATTCAGGATGGGGGACAGAAACAGCCGAACCAAATTAAAAATTGTACAAAATCTTTGAGTAAATATCGTGCTTAGCATCTGTGGGCATATGACGGTAATTTTCTTATATGCATGCGGAAAAGACAAACAGCCAGCGCAAGAGTGCAAATACCAGGCAATAAAGAAATATAAATTTAGCTAAATTGCTGCTATATCTATGGCCTATTAAAGCATCATATATAAAGCTAGCGCCAAATTAATAGGCACTTTTCATTGGAAATCCAGAAACGGTCAACTAATATTAGGTGATTATTGATAACGATTCGATTTTGATGGATGGTTTAATATACTACCGATAAGAGTACGTCAAATCCAAGTGGATAATACCTCATACAGGGCTATAGTATAATTAATGGTTGGCAGTTCATTGCCATTAAATAAAAAGTTACCACTTAGACTTACTTACACTTAGTTAGGTGTAGTAATCACTGATCTCTAATTGCATGTTTGAGTCAATGTTTTTAAATTACGGCTGACAAGAGAAACGATCCCATAGTTAAATGTTTTCCACGTTTTTAATATATAATGGAGTACATTCTCTCCATCCACTTTTGCACAAGGTGTTAATTACCATGTCTAAACAAATTTTTAATGATTTTGGTTTGCGTTGGATTTATCTGGAGTATAGACAAGCCACATCGATTCACAATCTGGTTGGGAATAGATCTGAAATGTAGAGGTAAAGCTTTTGTTTGATTCGTGGGAGTTTTGGATATTCCCAAGAAAATGCTTTCAAATTATCCTCAAGCTCAATATCATCTCATTGGTATGTTAAGCAACATGTGTCACCGCACATGACAAAAATTAATAAAAAAAATAAGCAAATCAAACAAAGTTAAAGCAAGCAAATAGTCACATGTTAATCACATGAGCGGAAAAAGTAAAACAAGAAACATGTGTGTAATGGCGTATCGAACTTAATTATACCCTCGCGAAAAATGTCTTGGCGCATGAGAATTACGTTCTATACTATATGCTTCTTCAAATTGAATACTATTTATAAACTTTAATTGGATTATTTTAATTGAAAACGAGCAATCCGCCTATTAATACAACAACTCTATACAAGGTTGGAATTGCCAAATTCAAGCGCCATATCGACGTGTTTATGTAAATAAAAATACAGTAGACGGCAATTTATTATCAACTCGGGATTTCCAGCCAACCAATTACGATAAAAAAGTTAATAACAAACAAGTTGGGCCATTGTAGGCGTTCTAGTGCAAACACAATTGTGGGTCTTAAATAGATAAATGTATTTTCCTATTAGCACGGGTATTTACGGCTTTCGTATTAATCGAATCATTTAATTTTTTCACATTTTGGTTTTTGGATGTTTGGTTACCCCACTTGGTAGATTAGCATTTGGCGCTACTTTATGCTCATGAATCCGATTGACATTGTAAAACAATTCTCGATCAATAAAATGTTTGTGATAACAGGTAAATTTTCACGCCACCCCCAATAAACTTTATGGACTTAATTTATAGCTTCCGAGGTTATGAATGAATCACAGTAAATTTGAATAGGCAAGGGCAAATTGGTCTCTTTTATAAATATTAAACATAAATTTGTTTGTATAACGATTTTTGCCAATGTGCAAAGCCAAACCAAATATGAAAATTAAACTAAATATTTTACTTTTTGCATTTTGAGTAAACTGCATTTCTTTATGTTAAGGTTTGGCTTTCAAAAAACAATATATAAAAAGTAACGCATCAAACCGCAAGTAACATCTCAATAGAGAAGTGAATTCAAAACCGCGATACTATATAAAGTGGCGCATGTCTATACTGATATTAAGTGAATCTGAGATCCATCTCAGGTAAAATTAGCTAGTTATAAATTCTCAGGTAATGATATTTGAATCTCCCCACGATGGCTATAGTTTCTGCTGTACATGGGGTTTCGCTTACAAAGTTGTTAATAAATTAAATGGTAAGCCTTAAAATAAGAGATTAGTCATTTCCTAAAAGTTAACTACTCAAACAGGGTTCTACTCTGAAGTATATAAAGGGTTCAGACTCACCAGTGTGTGGGTGTAGCCAAGGCCGCCCTCCTCCTCGTCGCCGTCGGACAGAGTACTCCTGTCGTGGTGGTGGCCCAGCGAGGAGGCGTTGGAGTACGTGCGCAGGGGCAGCAGGCGGGCAGCGGTCTGCGGCGAAGGAGCGATGAGCAGCTGACCTCCGTTCTTGGTCGCCTTCATCTTGGGACGGTAGTGGTGTGCGACTCGGAAGTGAAATTTCTCGACGATGGCAGACAATGCAAGTGGGGCAGCGAAGGAATTGCATTCGTCACTTGTGCAATACGGATTTATGAAAGCACATTCCTTGGTCTCATTTGTGCATTAAGCTCAATTATGTGCAGCACCACGTCGCAGTCACAAGACCGGCTTCCTTTCAATGGACAGTGGCCAGTGGCCAGTGGCAAGTGGCGTGGAGTTGATCCGCCGATGTGGCTGCGGCCAAAGAATATTTATGAATATGCTGCTGCTTTTTTAGCTGCTGCCGATGGACTGCGATTGTGACTTCAGATGGGAAAATGCTGTTGCTGCTGCTGCTGCTGTTGTTGCTGATACTGAATCCGATGCCGATTCCGATTCCGAATAGCTGTTATCTGTGAGATCACTTTTAACTTTTGTCTACCCCGTTGGCCGAATAGGCTGGCGATAAGACAGTGCTCATGCGTACATTTCAAGTGGCACACTTAAGTGTGTGAAGGCTTAATTAACACCGGCAAAAGCAATGGCCCAGACGAAAGGCAAATCGGGAACATGTATTACTCTTTAATTATCTCCTTATCAAAGTGGGTGTCACCTGGGCGGGACGGCGATCTGCAACGAATAAACTGATATAGTACAAATGTATGTACAATATGTACATATAAAACGTAAGCAAACTGAGCTAATGAATCGCGAGTTGTATTGGCTAATGAATTTAGCAGGAGAGGAGCTTGTTTGCCGACAAGCTAAACAAGCATCTCAACTGATAAGTGGCGCGAAATGGGCAAAATAATAACAGGTGTATATCAGGGTAGTCAGCAGGTGAACAACAATAGCGGTAATTCAAAGCGGCACGACATAGCACTGCTTGAGCATACTCGTACTTATGATAGATAATAGGCACCGAACTCCTGAACTCCTATTCCAAATTGTTTTAAGCTATTTGAGGCTGTTTACGAAATGTATTTCCAAGTGGGTAATTTCCAGGTATTGTAACATTTAATGTAAGCGATAGAGGAATAACTGCTACCATCTAGTGGGTAAAATTTAAATGCTTTGAATGCTTTTTGGCGAGTGTACTATAGACCTACTATGTATACATATGAGTATAGCCTTATCATCGGGGCAGCCTGACATCAAATACTAGAGCAGTATGCAGGCAGGAGCCATTCTACCGTAAAGTGGATTATGGCGGAATAATTTATGGTGTTATGATGGTATTAGTTCCTTTAAATGCCGAGCTAACGTGAGCAAACTTTTAAAATTCTAAATTTATTACATTATTTTAATCTTTTGTCACTATTATGGCGCCTATTTTGGTAGATTTATGAGCTTGCGAATTCGTATTGCCTTCAGTGATAGTCCTAATGCAATCTGGATTGCGCCCTAGGGCCTCCAAATCAAGTGGGATGCGGATTTATCAGGTTGCGGCACAGGTATTAGCGTTTACTTATTGAACGAAAACATTCAAACAACTTCACACATGCATGTGTGATTTATTGGTCTGCTAAAAACCAGATGATATTCATGACGAATTTAAATGGGTCCCAAATTATTTAATAGCATCGTGACGTTTAGACTGAACTTATGCGCTAGTAAGCCAATTAGAACAATTAATTTGATTTGAAATTCCAGTGGAACACTTTCAAGCGGAAGTGATTCGTGCACACTTTTTTATTGAATTTGTAAATAGTTTAAAAAATGCCCCACATAGCTGAAATATTTTCGTAATTGCAAATCTGAGTCAGGCCACTACGGCACGGGCTTCGCAAAACCACTCGAAAAATGTATAAACATGAGTGCACATATTTGCTCGAACAGATAAGAATAAGCCTTATACACTGGATGGGGAAGACGAATCTTGTTGGAAGCGGTATACTCGTAGGACAGCGACCCAGATTGGCCGCTCAAGTTTTGGAATACTGCTTAATGGGATTTTAAGCCAGACCCTCAAACTAATCTCAGCACAATTGCCATTCAGAAGTACACACACTTAAGATACACAGTAATGCAGGGATCACTTGTTGCTGTGGTCTAAAAATATTTTAGGGCAAAATATTAATCCAAGGCGGCACAAAAAGAGGCGCAAAGCTTGCCAAAAATATACGAAGAATATTATTTTTGCTAAGAACAACAAAGGCCAGGCAATGCGGCAAACAACAGCATTTGTTGTATACCACTTTTACTACATATAATTATACTTTCTTGTCCACCTTATATCACCGAAATATTCCGCGCTTGGGGGAACCACAAGCGAATGTATCTGTCTGCTTCGGATGTAAAGATTTGCATACATACGAGTATGCATATGTATCTGTGCTGTAGTAACACAGCCTTATGTAGGTACTCGTTATAAAATCAATTAAAAGCGGCGCAAAGATGCAAAACACAAACGTCACGAATGCGAACGAGAATAATGAGAACACAGCAGACACCGCCATTCCCGCACCACCCGCTCCACCTGCTCCACTTGCTCCACCTGCTCACACCTGTAGCGCGTGTTTCGACCACCTTAGCAGTGCTGCTTACTGTTGTTACAGTGGGCCGATCGCGGCGCAGGAGGTTCCACATACCAAGTGGAAGACCTGGGATTGATTGCACTCACTTCGCATGGATGTTTGCCCGCTGGCGTCTACCGTCTACTCGGAACCGAATCGCTCGTATCACAGCGCGGCAATTAGCATGGCCGATATTTTAGCTGTCTGTCCGTCGGTCGGAACTGATCGAATCGAATCGGATCGGAATAATATATGGTATTGGAGAATTATTGGAGAGCAGCTACCGATGTCAACGCGACCGCTTCGCGCTCTGGCATTGACTGGCGTCGTCGTCGTCGTCGCAGTCGTCGTCGTAGCTGCCGTAGCTGCTCAAACTCGCTGAATAGGTGGTGTTGGATTGGAGCCACTGCTTATCAACCGCGGTTGCGGTCGCGGTCTCGGCCAAGATTAATGACGTCCATATAGTTACACACTGTTTTCATATTCGCCAGCCAGCGGCGATCAGCTGACTGACTGGCCGCCGACGATTGTATTGGATTGGATCGGACATAGCATATATAGCTCATCCGGGAGCCAACGATTTCCCTACTTTAGCTGAAAGATTTGCCTTCCGCTGGGCACGCCACATCGAAAAGAGAGTGGAAATGCGGGAGCTAGTTGCTATTGCGATTGCTATTCGAAACGCTTATCTTAAGCTAGCTCTTTATGGGCCGAAATAAAAATCTGAACGAGTGAGTCTCCTTCGGATTTGACTTTTGTCGCCTTTATGAATGGGATTTGTTGAGTGTTATCTTGGCATTCCTTGAACTCAGCACTCCCGCCTTGTACAATGGTTAAGCGTAGTTGAAACTCCTTTTCAAAAACAGAAGCTATGTTTTTAGAATGTTTTTGTTTTTTGCATAAAATATAGGTCACATGGTCAGAATAGACATTTAAATTTATTAATAAATTCAATGATTCGTGGCATTTTCAAATCCAAACCAGAGAAACCGCACACCAGGGGTATTTTATTGCGGATAAAAAACTTGTCCGACTTATTATTTTTCCCTGCAATCCGAAAATGCTACTTGTATTAGGCCGGCATCTCTAAGTTTATTGCGTAAAATTGAAATCTGCCTCGCAATAAACAAATCAACGAACATGGTTGATTCATTAGCACCTGGTAAGTAGACAGGCTACAGAAGAGTGAAAATTATGGCAGAAATGTATGAAAATAATCGCAAGCATTTTGAACAGTAAGTTATGAATAGACGCGTTAAAATACAACAAAGTGAGTCAATATTATTTGCGAATGGTTTCTGATGATTAATTTTAAAGGCCCCCTATAGCAATTATTTAAGCTGGCAAAAGGGCGAACACTTTTTGCTTGCATAATTACCCAATTATAGCCAAATTGTTTTATTTATTTGTCGAATTGACAGAGTTTTTTGTTGGCGACACGCGCATCAAGGCCTATCAAATAGATACAAGTGATTAGCGTGATATAATTTCTGTATCTCAAAGAGGAAAAGCCATAATTAAGTAAACACTTATCGCAAAAAGAAAAGCTGTGCCACAGCGCCTGTCAAAAAACTGAAGTATCTTTGAAGCTGCCGTCCGCCGAAAACACCCTTTCGAGTAATAAGTATATTTAAATACGTTTTCCTTCATTTTACGAGATCTCATAACTCGCCGCTTGGCAAATACCTGGAAACTACGTAATACCTTATCTATTTTCAGCATTCAGTTTATTGGTATAATTATGAAAATGATCATTGGATCAAAATACACATACAAATTTATTGACAGGCTTGCTATCTACATCGCAGCTATGATACTGAGCTGTCAACTGTGCCTTTAAGAAAGTGAAAAGTAAACCTTTTGTCTTTGGCTCGCAAATTCTCGCAAATTCCGCCCCTTTAGTAAGATTTCGGTAACTAAAAGAGATGGAGACGTAAAAATACCTAGGCCAATAAGCCATTTTTCCTGGTTTACCAAATGATGTTTTTAGCTTGATTTGCATTTTCTAGTCCCAGCAAAATGTGCTCATTACTTGGGATCATTAGTTAAATAAAAAGTATACTTTTATTCCCACGTTTTTTATCGAACTAAGTGATGTGGCATGCCCAGAAATGCAAATAGGCTTTGTGCAATTCACGTCATACCCTATTATTTCGTATTAATAGTTTCTGTGTTCTAAAGTATTAATATCAAAAGTTTTTAGAACACTTAGAGAACACCATATATGATATCATCTCTATCCACAATATATAATAATTTACTCAATCATTTCCGGGCAGACAATTTCCATGTTTAAGTAACACTCAAAAACACAAACGGCATTTCAATTTCATGTTAAAACAAAAGTTTATTTTAGAAAAACCTAAATTTATAATTGAAACTTAAATATTAGAATTGAAATTTCTACAGAATAAAGTTCTTAAATAAAAATGTGCTTTTTATTCTTGATTATACATTGGTGGTTTCCTATGTCTGACCAATTGTCTGTCTGAAATCTGTTCAATAGTTAAGTGGTTTTCGTGATTGTAAGGGTTCCTTAGCGGTTTAGCGGTATTGTTTCAGCTTCATCATAATATTACGAAATACTTGCGTCTACATTAATTTCAATGTAATCAAACTATTGGAAGAGCTTTAGATGCGTCGCGAAAAATTGCCGCCGCCGCCGCCACCGCCATTATTTCCCATTCCGCCGCCGCCACCGTTACCACCCCCGTTTCCCCCACCGTTGTTGCCATTGAGACCACCACGTGTCTTTCCGTCGTAGAACAGCTCAATGTACCGCGAACCCATCTGCTCTCTGTGGCGCTTCATGGCCACCTGGGAGTCCTCGTAGGTGTCGAAGTAGGCATCAGCAGTACCACTGTGCAGACCCTTCTTGTTGTAGTTTATGCGCACGTTAGCTGGTCGGATTGGTTCAAAGAACTAAAATAACATAAATGTTGGTAATTGTAAGTAAATTGAATATTTAAATTTCCTTAGCATGTTTAATTTGCTTTGGATTTGGTTATTATTAAACCCACCTTAAAGACATCGTTTTCAAATGAAGTGTAGGGAAGCCCTCGCATGTGGATTGTATAATACTCGATATCGTTGCCCCGACCTCCGCCGATGGGGCCGAAATTGCCACCACCTCCCATGGAGTTGCCACCGCTAAAGTTGGAGCCATTGTTGAATCCTCCGCCACCGCCATTGTTGCCTCCTCCGAAGTTCGAGCCGCCATTGTTGTTTCCTCCAAAGTTACCGAATCCAGAGTTTCCGAAATTCCCGTTGTTATTGTTGCGACCGCCGCCGATCGGACCAAAGTTGCCGACACCACTCGAGGATCCGAAGTTGCCGCCGTTATTGAAACCTCCTCCACTGTTGCCGCCAAAATTTGAACCGCCATTGTTGCCGAAATTATTAATGCCGCCTGGAGAATTGAAGTTGTTGCCATTATTGAAACCACCGCCGCCGTTGTTGTTGCCGCCAAAGTTTCCACCTCCATTGTTGCCGAAGTTTCCAAAGTTTCCGCTGTTACCACTATCGTTTCCAAAGTTGCCGGAATTTCCACCGTTGTTGCCGCCACCAAAGTTGCCGAAATTGCTGGGTCCGGAGTTATTACCAAAGTTTCCATTATTTCCACCTTGATTGTTTCCAAAGTTGCCGGAATTCATCAAGCTTGGCAGATTGTTGAAGCCCAGCATGTTGTTGGCACCAACGCCAAAGTTGCCATTGTTGCCCCAATCTTTGATTAAAAAAACACAAAGTGAATCAATAACGTATTACAAATTTGACAAATGCAAATGACCTTACCATTGCGTCCTCCGCCGAAATCATTGCCACCACGGTTGGCACCACGATCACGTATGTCATACGGCACCGGGCGTCCTCCGACACCACCGCCAGCGCCTGTGGCCCTCTTCATTTCAGCAATCGAGCTGCGGAATATCTCAATATACCTATATGAATAAAAGTGGAAGATATATGTAAGTCGAAAGTGGTACTTGAAATTTGCTAGGGTCGGTGGCGTGTTCTTTCAATGATCGACTATTAAATATCACGTAATAAAAAAGAATTCAAAATAAATTCATTGAACTGATGAACTAAATAAATATGCTATTCACAGTTTGATTAATTTTTTAGATTAAGCACATGATGGCGCTTAAACATATATGTGTATTTAGAGCCCCACCAGACCCGTAGCTATGGGAAAATTGTTGCTAAATTGATTCTCATTTACTGAAATAGAAATTATTATATAAGTAATTAATTATTTTGTGAATAATCTATGGTGCTGTATAGTCCTTGTATGTTTCAACAAGTTCGCAATTGATTACCACTTAATGTTTTAATTTCAGCTGTTTTGTTGTAGAAATATGATGAATTAGAAACCCACCTGTGCCCAATTTTTTCCCGATTTCGGCCCAAGGCTTGCTCAGTGTCGTCCTGGCTTTCGAACTGAACAAAAGCTTCCCCAGTTGCACGACCCCTTCTGTCCATAACAAAAAGTATGCCCTCCCGATCCGTTTTGATTTCCAACCCTGCCCATGACGATAACCAACAAAGATTTATACAAATATATAGATTTCATATATATACATTATGCAAGGTTAAGCTTAGATAGAGAAACAGTAATACAAAGGTTGATAAATGTTATTGTTTAGTTCTAACACCGCAGAACTTTTGCAGGCTCGCGGTATTAGCAACGTTTGCTTAAATAAATAGTGCCATTCAGTCAAAATATGATCTGCAGGCAATCGTGATTCCCGGACCACAATGAATTACAAAACTCTGATCCTGTAACGTGTAGACATGTGAGGCTCAGTTGACGGTTGTGAGTAATGATCGCTCATATAACCAAGTAAACTGGGTTATGTGACCAATGAAATAATGATTTATCGGACAAGTGGACGTGACCGCGTTAACTGTCAGCTGTTGACTTTGAAAGGAGCTGCGTGGACCGCCGACCCATTACACAAATGCAAGGGCCTGCTTTTCTTTGCCCGACAATATGCATGTACGTTGAAGCGCATATGTAATTTATATGAATGGTGTAGATGAAAGGGGACCGTAGGCCATATCTCAACGAAGTGAAAAAATAATACATGCGGTCAACCACTGTCTTCATCCTGGTGCCTACTAGTATGGGAAGAGGAGCAGGGACAGGAAACTCACCAGAGAAGAACTCCTCGATTTGCTGCTCGGTGACGGCATAGGGCAGACCACGAAGCTTTACAACGAATGCCGTGCCGTGTCCGCTTATCTTCCGCATGGCTTCCTTGGCCTCTTTGGGAGTGGCGGTAAAAACTAAAGGAATAAATAAAAACACCATTTGGTGTTTGTTATTAGTCTAAGAATTAGCATGAATATAGCTTTAAAATAATATCAAATCTACTTTCTACATATACTACAAATTCAATAAAAAAAAAAAAAATACTACCTCGATAGAAGTATAATGGTAACAATAAAGTGTTATATTTGTGAAACGTGCTTATTAGTAGGTCAATTCCACAATAAATGAAAGGAGAGAGCAATACCAACATAAATTGCTGAACAATGAAAGTCAATCATCTTCGCGAAAGTATGCTATCAGAACAAACCCGAGCATGTTAGGAGAATAAATTTGTGAATAGAGAAGAGAAGTTACAGGTGTAGGCCTATAATTGGTTAACACTTCTGTGGTACAGTCATCCCCCGTTCGAATTGCAAATAAACAAACCCTCAATGTAGCGGTGGCCCATGCTGGCCTTGTTCAGCTTGCGGGCCTCTTCGACGTCCTCCTGGCTGGCCACCTCCACGTACGCCTCGCCGGTGTTCTTGCCGTCGACGCGGCTCGTGACCAGGTGTATGCCCGCCGAGCCATTGGTCACATTCACGTTCTCCAGAAAGTCGAGGATCTCTTTGTGGGTGGCGGACCAGGGCAGGCCACGCAATCGAACGAACTTGGGGCTCTCGCCGACGTTCTCGATCTTGACGCCGCCATCTCCGTCGAACTGGTCGTCTTCATCCTGCTGCTGGTTGCTGTCGTCGTTGAAGTTGTCGCCATTTCCCTGCTGGCCGTAATTGAACTGCACGTCTGCGTTGGACATTTTTCTCTTGTTCTTTGTCTGCAAATGTTGGCGAACCGGATGTGTTACAACTATTAGTTACTGGTTAAATAGTTTTGATGGTTTTTACTAGCTGAAAGTGGGTTTGTTTTTTAGCCGGTGATTCTCCTTTCATCAGCGACGCTTGTTTGATGCGATTCTTTTCTGCAGCGCGTACGCCATTTTGATTTCTAGTCACCCCTATTCGCGCATGACATGTTGCAGGCCTCGTACACAATATATACGCTTCTAATGGCCACACCTGGTAGCGGAACAACGGGCTAACCTTATACTGCACTGTCGCAACTTCTAATATCCCCTTTTCTCAACTTAAATCGGATAATTCGCACGAATTTTTAGATAGTTTCACCAGAGAGCACGCGTCAAGTCTAAGATGCAGAGTGACCGCGTTTAAATTATAAAAATATACCGTTTGACAGGGAAATAATTTTCATATATGTGTCAAGGTAACGCCGAAGCGGACCAGTAGAAAATGAAACTAAGTCTATTGTTGAGTGGTTTTATTATCTGCAAGAGCATTTCGAAGTAATAAAATATAAGCAACTAACTGATGCATTGACAAGTTCTGATTTGTGGATTTGCGAATTTCCCAGTGTTCCATGACACCAATGGTTAAATCCAATGATTCGATACGTGCGCATCCCTGGAACAGCCAGTGTTGCCAACCATCACTCACATCTGTCATACCCGTGTGAAAAGTAGCAAGAACAAGAAAGTGAGTCGAGCTGTTACTTAACCAAATTTTTGCAATTAACAAGCATTTTATTGTTTTAAACGGCAGCATGTTGAGCATCACGGCCCGTAACCTGGCAAGTGCCCTCCGCAGCAGCCTCGTCGGCACATCGTCGCGCGTGGCCGCCGTGCGCTGTCTGCATGGAACCGAGGAATCGGCTGAGGAGTTCGACAAGCGCTACGAGAAGTACTTCAGCCGTGACGGCATCGACGGCTGGGAGATCCGCAAGGGCATGAACGATCTGCTGGGCATGGATCTGGTGCCCAGCCCCAAGATCATCGAGGCCGGTCTGCGCGCCAGCCGTCGCGTCAATGACATTGCACTGGCCATCAGGTGGCTGGAGGGATGCAAGGACAAGTGCGGCGACCAGAAGGCCACCCTCTATCCTTACTTGCTGGAGAAGATCACTCCCACACTGCAGGAACTGGGCATCCCAACCATCGAGGAGCTGGGCTACGATAAGCCCGAGTTGGCCCTGAAGTCCGTGTACGATGCCTAAGCGGAGTAATCTAGTTTACACACACAGAACACAATATACACGTTACAGCGACATTAGCTACCCATCCAATGTATGGTGCGGATGAACATGTTGTTGGATTACTAATAAATGGAGATTGGAGTAAGGCTACCACACCAGCACAAGGTTGTTTTCCCTGTTGGTTACGTAACACCCAGGTTAGGGAACTGCATTCCGACAATGATAAACAAAGCGATCGATAGCAATTCGTTTATTGTCCAGCGACTATTTCCATTTGGACAGCAGTTCGGCCGCCTTGTCCAGGTTCTCTTGCTTCTTGATGAAGCAGTAGCGCACAAAGTCCTCCCCCAAATGTTTGTTGGGTTCGCTGTAAAAGGCACTTGGCGGAATGCCCTGCAAGCCCATGTTTTTGGTCATCCACTTGGTAAACTTGTAATCTCGGTGCTTGTCCGGCTCAGAGCTCAGATCTATCTTGTCCGCCAGTGGTGACCAGTCTGCCAGCATAAAGTAGCCACCCTCGGGAATGGTGGGACGCATACCGGCTTCGGACAGGAACTTGGCCATGAAGTCGCGCTTCTGCTTGAGTTCGCGCGGCAGGCTAAGGAAGTAGCTCTCTGGCTGACCCAAACGGGCCAGTTCTACCTCGAAACTGCGTGCCACGCCCTCCTGGAGCGGCGTCGGGCAGGTGTACACAGAGTTCTGGTGCACCATCTGCAGGTTACGAATCAGTTCAGCGGGTCCGTAAGCCCAGCCTATCTTCCATCCGGTCACTGAGAAGGTCTTTCCCGCCGATCCCAGAGTGATGGTGCGGTCCCACATGCCAGGCAGGGTACAGATACGGATGTGCTCGGCTCCGTCGAACACCAACCACTCATACACCTCGTCCGAAACGCACAGCACATTCCACTTCCGGCAGAGCTCGGCAATCCTCTCTAGCTCTTTCCGGTTGAAGACCTTTCCGATAGGATTGTGGGGTGTGTTAAGAATAATCATCTTTGTTTTAGAGTTGAACAAACTCTCGAATTCGGCATCGTCCAGCACCCAGTCGGCCGAGCTGATTGGTCCCTCTGTCTTGCGCTACAAATTAGACATTCAAATGAGGGAACTTATTTTTCTATTGAGGTACCTACCAATTTTAGGGGAACAAAGCGGGGTACTCCACCGGCCATCTTGACCATAGGCTCGTAGCAGTCGAAGAACGGTTCAATAATGATCACCTCGTCGCCCACGTCCACATGGCCCATGATGGTGGAGTAGAGTGCCTCGTAGGCTCCTGATGTAATCAGGATGTCGCTTAGGGGATTAAGCTCCTTGCCGACGAGACCGCTATACAGCTTGGACAGCGCATTGACCAGGCGCACGTGACCGTAACCGCGAGTGTACTGATGCAGAAGAGGATTCTCGTCCTTGGCAATGTCGGCCAGCGAGTGCGTTACGTAGTCGGGAGCTGCATCATCGGGAAAGCCCTGTCCCAAGTTCAGCGGCTTATATTGCATGGCCAGGGCAATGTACTCGTTCCAGACGCTCGGCGTGCTGCCCTGCAGTCGCTTGGGCAGATCAAATTTCTCCATTTTACTGGCAGTTTGCTGGTGACGCAGGACTTGCAACTGGAACTGCTCGCGAAGGTTTCTCTTTGCGGCGGAGAGGGTTAACTGGCAGCTGCGTAGCATCTGTAAAAAGGTGACTTTAGTAACTGATTGTTCCCTATCGCCTTATCACCGCGTGTTTGGATTGTTTATTGCGCGATAAGCACGCACTTTGCCTGTCGTCTCTGTTGGTCTGATGTCTGATCTCTAATGTAACAATAAACTATATCACTGGTTAAATTCGAAATGCAATTGTTGGAGTTAAATGCTGGAGGCCTGCAATGCGCGGTGACGTTGCATAATGGCACTGAATTGTGATTAGACTAGCGGAATATCTATGTACATATGTATATGCGATACGATTTTGTTTTAAAGCGCTCACGCACACATGTAAACGGCAATATGCAAATAAACAAATTGCGTGGAACGTTGATGCCCCAAAATATAAATGAAACTGAAATGCATCCAAAATCAGCTGCAAGAAACAAAAACATTGTCAGCTGTCTGTTGGAGTTTCAGATGTCCCATTTTTAAATTGATTGAGATCGTCTCAAACGAGCTTTGATTCCACGATCATTTCTAGTTGGCAGCCTTGAGCTTGTATACAAAATGGCACTTAACCAGACACGCATAATAAATAAGTTCTTTTATTTGACAACATATTTGAAAACATCTTAGAATTTGGGTATAAACTTGTAACTCACGAAATAAGCTGCGAATTGTTTATAAATTTACACTGTTATCGATAAGCAACGACCAGGGATGCCATTCACATCACTCACGAAGCAAACGTTCACATCGATAACCCACTCGAAAACAAATCGAATTAAAAGTATAATTTCAGCATTGGCGCGATGTTTCATTTGCAAATAAGTTTTTAATGATATATTCCAATTTTTTAATATAGTTGTTAGTTATATCAACCACCAACAAATCCTCTTAAATTTAAAACGCATATACATCCATTTTTCAAAAGTTTATTTATAAAAAATGTTTGTTATTGGTAGTTAATCAAGGGAGAAATCATCGTACAGCTAGTATAATTGACAAATTAATTGATTAATAACATATTAAGCATCGAAACTGTTTACATTTCATTGAGTGTAGAATTATCTGTAATGCTATAAAAAGAATTGAAGTTTGTTTTAGACCAATTTCGATTTTAAATGTTCGTTCTGCAGAGTTTTAACAAAGTAAAGCTACTAAACTTAAATCACAGATAACACTAAAGTGTTTGTTACGATATATGCATGTATGTATATATATGTGTCTGTTTCTTTATATATATGTCACTATATATGTGTGGTCAAATCGGTTGATACAGGCCCGCTTTGCCTTTTCCTTTCGTACGATTCCTTTGTTTGGAAATCATAGAACGCATAACTGACTTAAAGTTAAGATAGAAAAACGCTAATTCTAAAGAAATTGTGTTCTTGTCTGTGTAATGTGGTTTTGTTGCAGTAATTTAAGTGGCCACATTCCATACGCTGTTAAATGCAACAATTGGCTTAAGTACTACGAAACAAAGGCTGATGCTCTGATGCTGGTTGGGACTTCCTATTGTTTCCTCCTACTCGTCCTCTTCCATTGTGAATGGCACACGTTTCGCGAAACGCTAATGGCAAAAACGAATCAGAGGATATTGGCCCGGTTGCGATTTCAATTTCAAACAAGTAGTGTTAAGGAGACCAAAAGTAAGAGACAAGTTGATAAGTTGAAGTTCAATCGCAGAACCATCAAAGTTTATCTTATGGAAACTGCAGGAACTTTGTTGGCCTTGATGCAATTTCAGGAAATCGAATGGCAATCTGTTTGAAATTAAAAGTGGAAACCGAGCTTTATTCCTCTCCCTCTCTCTTTTTGTGTTGATTCTGTGGGTGAAGTGAAGCTCCTAGACGTGCACCTCCGGGCAGTCTTCGTCCTTGATCGATGTGTACTGCACCTTCTTGGCCACATTGTCGAACACCGGCGTTATCATGTATTTCAACTTGTCTCTACTGACGTAGACGAGGGCCACCAGAAGTCCGAGCAGGATCATGGTGAGTACGATCAGCAGGAAAATCAGAGTGGCCGTGTGACCGCTGATGTGGGCCTGAGGTTGGAGATGAGACGCCTCCGGGTCCCCATAATGCGGCTCCTCTTCGGCGGTGTTTAGGATCGTGGCAGCGGCGGCGATGTCGTCCGCACACTGATTCAGATCCATTTGCAGCAGGTGAGCGGGCTCGGCGTCCACGTGTCCCGTCGAATGGAAGCACATCAGGCTGTCCTTGTTGCGCACCGTCACCCGGGTGGTGGTTATCCACGCGTGGAACGGAGCGGTGCGGCAGTCGCAGCCGAAGGGATTTAGGTTGAAGTCTACGATCAAGTTGGCCGTGCGGTTGGGGCGCTCCTCCAGCTCATTGAGCACCCGAAGATCGGTGGGCTTCACAAAGCCGAACTTATTGCGCTCCAGGTCGAGGAAGCGCAGGTTGTTCAGGCAGCGCACCTCGAAGTTGAGGTCCCGCAGCTCGTTGTCGCCCAAATGGAGGTCACGCAGGGAGGGCAGGTCGCAGAAGACATTGCGATCCTTGAAATGCGTAATCTCGTTCTGCTCCAGATGGAGCTTCTGCAACTTTATTAACTGGCTGTTCACAAAGATGTCGTGCAGATCCTCGCTCAGCTGCGGCGAACTATTGTCCTCAAAGGCATCGGTGAGATGCAGACTCTGCAGATTAATAAAGTTCGAGAAGACGCGTGGGTGATGGTGATTCACCTCGTCTTCGTACCTCGAGATGCTCAGATTGTTGTGGTTGAGAATAAGGCGCTCCACGCGTGGCACATGGTGATAGCTCTTGCCGCGAATCTCGCGGATGTGGTTGCTGCTCATGTCCACGATGCGCAGCTGCTTGTAGTTGTTGATGCTGCCAAAAACGTTCCACGGCAACTCCGTGATCCGGTTGCCCGTGAAGATCAGCACCTCCACCTGGTCGGGCATGAATTCCAGTACGCTGGTGTTCACCAGTCCGGCGTTCGTGCAGTTCACCACGTATTGCATCTCGCTCTCGTACAGCTCCTTGCCACAACTGCACGCCGCCGGAAAGTTCGGTCCGCAACTGGACAAATTTTCGCCCAGGACTCCTCCTGCGCCGATCGCCAGGATAATGGAAGTGATGGTCACGACCAGGATCATTTTCCTCAGTTCGGTGGGTTGCATGATGTTTGTTGAAGTCTGTAAGTAATACAACGCAGAAAAAAAATAATTTAATGAGGATTTACGTTATACTATATTATTTTATATTTCTTTTTCATACAGTGTCTATCATGCAACTTAAGGTACGATTAAATTTAGGTGAAAGGATTTTGGATAAGAAATTAAATTGCGTTAAGAAATTATCGGCTTGAACACAGGTATTCTTTAGCAAAATGGTTTATTGGCTGATAATGCATTTTGTAGTGGCGCACACGCCTCAGGGATTCCCGAATTTGTACAGGTGCCTGACTAGCCGTAGCTGCCTCTTTTCCACCCAGCAAGCAGCTTATTTATGCGCCACAAGTTGCAGATTTATGTGCTTATGAAAGCCGGAGCGTTGTGCCTCACCTCTGCGAAGAGGCTATCTTCTCCCGTGCTCCGCGACCCACTTCAATCGTCGGCCCACGCGGCGTATGGGTAATTTCTGTTTTCTGGTAAACTTTTCGGCGTCGGGGGCACAACGAACGCCTGAAGGGCACTCCGGCGGACTGTGGCAGTCATCCAACCGCAACAGGAGCAGAAACTGGAGGAGCAGCCGTAAACCTGATTATTTCTCGGCTTTTATTGCTATTTGCTTAGTGGAAGCGAGCGTGTGTGGGAGTGTTTATGAGTGAGCTTATGAAAAACGGAGTGGGTGTCGAGTAAAAAATTTAAGTCTGGAGCCGAAACCCTTAGCAAAGACAGTAGATCAAATTTGTATGTTTTACCTAACCGGCAGTAAACATTTAGCAGATACTTAAAATTAAATTGGCCTCCCAAAAACGCAGACCTAATTAAAGCTTAAATTGCTTCATCAGAAACAGAGACATCAATAAATTGCTTTTAATTTAATGACCGACACCAAATTTTCGGTTTTCTTCAATAATGAATACATAAGAGGATTTGGGGAAAAACAATAGAGTTCATGAATACAAACACTGTAACAATGGGTTTAGAACAAGTTGTGAGACCAATTAGTGCCGTTTAGACTAACGTTTTTGCTTAATTTTAAGGTGGGCTGCTTAAATGGGGGCAGATTTTTGTGAAAGCCTGAATGGTTTGCAAGCCTTAAAGGATCTGGAATTCCATGGGGTAGCTGAAAAATGCTGTCCATTTGAAGTGAAACAGAATTGCCGGAATGAAGCCCCTATCCTAGTCTGAATTGGATCTCTGTGACCATTAATTTGCCTGTTAAGAGGGTGCTTCCAATTGGATGTTGCAGCTCTTGAACTAGGCGCCTGGCCGAGGGTCACTCGATGCTAATGAGCGAATCAAATTCCTGGTAGGAAAATTGAAAACTAACTGCGTTTTAATGGGCCCAGCAGGAGACCTTCGCTACTCACCAACAGGAGGCCACTTAATTAACTCGACTGGCAATTATGTAGCCTGTTTCCCAGACTACAATTTATGATGGTTAAGCGTATGTAAATGAAATTTACAAATTTCCGAATATTTATCCGCCACAAATCGGAAATATTTACCAATTAGTGCGAGATAAGTGGAGTGTGAATGTATTCGTTTAATTCGTTTAGTTTCTCTGCACACTCTCCCACTTTTCGACCATAAACGTTTGCTTCTCTTTTAGCCAAGGTTGAAAGGCACAAAGCTGCCCTCCACTCGAATCTTCCGTTGCAAGTAAACGCTGCGTGTGTGTGAGTCACTTCCGGTTTGTCGGACTAACAAGCAGCCGCACTCTGTACCCTCCTCCCCTCTGCCGTTTTACTTTAATTTCAACTTTTTGATGTCTTTGTTGTTGTTTGCTTTGTGTGTTTACTGTTGCAATCTCATACACCTTCAACGTGCCAGCCCGCCAGCCCACCTGGTCACCCCATCACTCCACCCCCTTTGTTTCGCCCCTGGGCATTCCACTGCAATAATAAGGCAAACAAACAGCATTTGTTCCTTCTTTACTGCACTCGGCTGCTTCTCGCTGGAATTTATGCATGCGCGTAAAATAATAATAATACATAAAAGAAACAGCAGCAGCAGAAACAACAAAGCCAAACAACTACAATAACAGCGGTATAATGTGTATGTAACAAGCGCAAGTAAAATAATAATGCTGTACATTTTTGTGTGTGTCTTTATACCCTGCCGCAAGGTATGACTCATTTAAATGGAACTGTGCGCCGAGGGTTGTACATAAACATCTGGCTCAGACAAGTTGACCTTAAGATGGCATGTCATTCTATGGGACTGTCCCACTTAACATCTCATAGGGCTGTTCTGCAAGCCATTCTACAGGACTATACCATATGTCATTCCCGAGGGCTGTCCTGCATGACATCCTATAGTAGTAACCTAGATTGGAAGTTATATATATGCCATACTGATATTAAAATACAAAATAATTGACATTTCCATTCACTTGTATATTAAAATAGAAATTTCATAGCAATATACTCTTTATCTTGTCTAGTAAACTAATCCTCTTTATCTACTTATATATACGTAAAGATACAATGGGACTGCGTGACTTTAAGCAATTTGTTACCCATAGATGGGCATTCTTTGGAGTCTTAAAGCAGCCTGTAAAGGTATGCCAAGCTTCGGCTTACGAGCCAAA